ACCCGGGGCTCCTGACGCACAGCCCGCCCCCGAGCACTGCCGCCCCTCCCAGCCCGCTCCTGGGGAAGCAGGACTGAGACCGCAGCCAGGTGCCCTGGGGCTGCGTGGGGAGCCCGCACTGTCCTGGCCGGGAGTAGCTAGCTCTCAACCCCCTACCCCGACCCCAGGCTGAGCCCGCAAGTGGGTGGCCAGCTCGCTAGGCACCTGGGGCTGGCTAGAGCCACCCACTCACTGCCTTGCAGCCGCAAGCTGGGTGGACATCATGACCCCAGGCACAGAGACACGGCACTTCCCACTTCCGTACATCACACGGGGAGCCTGGGCAGAGCCAGGCTGGGTCTGAGATGTGACACTGAGCCTCCCTCCCAACCAACATGCCAGTTTAGGAGGCCTGTGGGGCTCCCACCTGGCACCCTCTTTGTTCAGGACAGTTGGGACCACCCCCAGTGCGCCTGAGGCCCCCAGGGAGTTTCCCAACTGCATGGTCACCACTGGGGGCTCCCAGGCCAGTCTCCACTCCTTTCCTCCAGGGGGTTCCTTTTCCATATTTGCAACGTGGTCTAAAGCAGCTTCAGGTGGCAGAGTGGCCAGAGCCAGTGGTGCCCACCCACCAAGAGACAGCGGCCAGCACAGCTGGAACCAGGTGCAGACATGCCCTCCCCGAGAACTCTGTCGTTTCTGTACCATGATTATCACAGCTGTCACTGTGCATGAAGCCCTGGGCCTGCCCCCTGAGGTAGCTTCTGCCGCAAAGGAGCCGGGCCCACATCACCTAAGAGCACGTAAAATGTGCCCACGCTGGGCCAGGACCCCTGCTGCTGCCCTGAGCATGGGGGGCTTTCTATGGCACTCACCTGGAGGACGAGGCTCCCTCATGCCCCGGACGCTGGTGGCAGCTACTCTTCTGAGCGGTGGGGGCTGCCTGTGCCTCCCCCGTGCCAAGGTCTGCAAGTCAGAGACGTAGTGTGGATTAGTGCACATCTTTGACACTTTGCCGTCCAGGGGCTGGGGAAGGGGACAGGGCCAGCCTGATGCGGCCGTGGGACCTCAGGCCTGCACTTGGCCTACAGGCTTTGGCCCCTGCGATGGCCAAAGCTGAATGGGCCTCTCAGGGCTGCCCACACCCTCAGCCTGGGTGAGTTGGTTGTCTCCTGCCCCGGGGGTCCTGAGACCGGGGGTGGAAAGGCTGCTGTGAATGAAGTGGACAGCCGCTCTACAAAGCCTGGGCTGCGAAGTGAGCGTCCTGAAGGTTCAGGGGAAGGCGGGGCCTCTGGGCAGAGCCAGCTGCTGTGGGGCATCTGGCTCAGGCCTACTTTGGGGCAAAGGAGCTGAAGGAAGGGAGGGGACCCGGTGGCTGGACAGGGGCCCCTTCCTGGACCAGGGGGCTCTGGAAACCCCTGGAAATTCTGAGGGCGGCTGGGGCAGCTGTGGCTGGGATGCCTATAAATCGTGAACAGAAGGGATCCCTGCCACTGTGGGGTCTCTTGACCCCCCAACCCAAGCAGGCAGGCCTCACCCAGCCCCAGGCAGTAAAGAGTTAAGAGCTGGGCCCAGGGGTGCTAGAAGGAGAGCTTCCCTGTCCTGTCCCCTGCCCCTGTTCAGGCCCTGAAGCTGGTCATTTGACCCTTTGACCTCCAGCCCTTGCAGACAGGGGCAGCCTGGGGCGCTGGGTCGGCTGGTCCTCACTCTGCTAACTGGGGGCAGAGGCCTCTTCTGCTTTCTCGTCTGGGAAAGGTGTGTTCCTCACACAGACTGCTGGGGTGGACGTGAGAGGACCAGAGGGGCAAGGGCCCGGAAGGCTTTGCTCCAGCTCTGGGACTTGGGCTCCTTTGGGGGGAGGCGGGGACCGAGGGAGAACGGGAGCTCCCCTAGGGTGCAAGGTAGACCAACAGAGTGCACCCCACCAAGCTGTCCCTCTGCCTGGCCCCCCAGCCAACCTTGCAGAAGGTGGGGGCTCCTCTTGGTACCCTGCTCAGCGCCCCCGGCTTGCGCAGCTCATCCCGCTGGCGCCCCCTCCCTGACCCCCTCAGGGGTGTCTGCCCATCCTTGGGGGATGCCCTTGGGACACCGAGGTCCCAGAAAGGAAGAGCGAGCTGAGGTGGGCCTTGCTGCCAACCCCAGGGGCTTCACCGGGAAAGTGGAGCAGGCACAGGATGGGGTCGAGGGGTAGCGCAGCAGTGGCACCGGCTCCTCCTTCCAGAGCTCACAGCCGCTGCCGGGCCGCCCAGCCTAAGTACTGGGATCCGGCAGGCCAGGCCGGAGTCCAGGGGAAGCCCTTGGCCAAGGGGCCTGAATGTCCTCTGTGCAGTGGGGATGGCGCCAATAGGGAGGATGGCGGGATGGCGCCCACGAGCGGAGTGAGGGCCCACGTTGGTCAGCCCGCAGGCCCCGCAGCCAGCCCGCTCCCCGCCGCTCCGAGACCACCCCCGCCATACCTGACGCTGCCCTGGCCCGGGCTCGGCCATGGCCACCACTGCCGCCTCCTCGGGCGGGGAGTGGACCCTACCCCTCGAGGCACCTCCCGCCGCCGCTGGCCCGGCCTGTCCGCTGGAGCCTCTGCCTTGGCCATGGGGACAGCTGACTCGGGGCAGGGAGGCTCCTCCCGGAGCAAGGAAGGGTGGCTTTTTATGCTCCATCCCGCGTAAATCGGGATTGGGATGGGCCCTTCCCGGCCGGACTTCCTGTGTGTGTTCTCCGCTGATAACGGGGATCTGTCAGTGAACAAACAGGAGGCTGGGGGCGAGTGGGGGGCGGCCGAGGGAGGGGCCTGGCAGAGGGGTGGGGGAGCTGTCCCCAGGGACCTCAGAGTTTAATCCTGAAGCAGCCAAAAACCATGCTTGGGCCTGGCCGCAGCCCAGCTGGTGAACCTGGGACCCCGCTGGTCTCTGTGTGATGGGGGACGTGGCTGGGACCCAGGGCCTTCCTGGTGCCGTGGGTCCACCAGGCTGGTGGGACCACATTAGTGTGACCCCACAGAAGGGCCTGTTTGTTCTGTGACCCCCAGCGCCCACACCTGCACCCTCAGACATGTGTCCTGGCATGGGAGTCTGGAGGGACTTTCAGTCCGGGGATGGGAGCAGCCAGAAGAGACCTGGGGATGGGTAAAGAGGCTGGGTGTTCCAAGAACAACCTGTTCTATGGGTCCCTGGGGCCCAGAGCGGCTGTGGTGGGGGGTGACAGCTAGGGGCAGACATCAGCTCAGAGACTCAGGCCTTCTCTAGGAATGGGGAGTGAGCCCCTGCTTCTGGGCGTGGGGTCCAAGCCGAGGCAGAAGCCCCCAGCTCCTCTTCCAGGGGTCCGCCCCAGGGGATGGCAGTGTATTTCCTGGCCTACTTTCTTCCCTTGGCCTCTAGCGGGCTGGTGGAGGGGTGGAGGCGGAGGAGAGGAACACAGGAGCCTCTGGGTGGCCAAAGGGGGTGCTTCCTCAGATGCTCAAGGTGGTCCAGTCCCCAGGTATGACCCTCAGTCTCCTCATTTAGGTGATAGCCCCAAGCCGAGCACCAGTTGCTGTGTTGGGTCAGGTGGGAGCCCGAGGGGAGCTGGGCAGCTCCTGAGGACACACGTGGATCACACTGTCAGCCGAGGGCTCTGAGTGTGCAAGGCCAGGCCGAACCCCGCTGTCCTCGGGTAGAAGCCCTGCTCCGGGGTCAGCCCCCGCCTACCCACAGCCAGGACACCCTCACTTCTCTGGCCTTGAGCACCTCCGCTCAGTCCCTTCCTCCCTCCAGCCCCACCCAGCTGGATGCCTCGGCCAAGCAGGAGGTTGGAGCAGCTTGGGAAATTCCCCACTGGGATGCTGTGAGCTGGAGGGACGTCTCGCCCGCCCTTGTTGGCAGGTCTCAGCGGTCAGGAGGGCTGCTGCCCTCCCCACCCCCACAGGAAGGTCTGCTGCAGGCACAGGGCTATGGTCAGGCCCAGGGTCTTCTCTCTCCAGGACTCAATGTCCCCTGCCCTGAGGCTGGAGCTTGCAGGCGGAGTCCCCCATTGGCCCATCTCTTCCCCACCAGCCTGCCGTGGCCCACTCTCCCCACTCACTCTCCCATCTGAGGAGCCCTCTGCCCGGAGGGCTACGTGTCCTGCTGAGGGTACTCACCAAGAGTGTAGGGCCCGAGTGGGGCTCTGCCCCCAACCCAGGGTGCCCCCTGTGCCCACATCACCCAGACCGTAGGCCCAGGGATCTGCTCTGTGCTCCTGGGTGGAAGAAACTGCAGACATCAGGGCTGGCTGGGTCCCACCCCTTATGTGTAAGGATGGGGAGATTGAAGCCCAGAAAGGAAAGAAACTCACCCCAGTGAGTGGGGAGCAGTGTAGAGCTGGGATGGATCAGGTGGAAGCAGCCCCCCTTCTCTTTCTTTTCTCAGTGAATCCCCCAATTCCTCCTGTCCCCCCACCCCAGGGGGCGGAACTGTCCCTGCCAGGGAACGGCTGAGGTTGGGAGTAGCTAATTTGCCAAATTTGTGAAAGGTTTAATGGGTCACCCCTCCCTCTAAAGCATGGGCATGTTAGGGAAATTTCTGGAAAGATGCGCAGAACATAGAGGTGGGTTGAATGGTGGAGTTACCGGTGTGGGGAGAGCAGAGTAGTGGGTCCTCTACACCTCAGTTTCCTCCCCACTCTGCTGCCCACTGGTTCTGTGGTCCCCCAATGCTCCGTGACGCCCTCCAAGAAAACTCTGTCCCACTGCAGCCCCTCCTGGGCCGAGACCAGAACCAGTGCCAGAAAGGAGGCTTTGGCTCAGGGCCCCCCGTACCAGCCTGGCCCTGGCCTGTCGCCTAAAACCCCACTGTGTCCTCCACTCTCGGGTCCCAGAGCCTCAGAGGCAGACATGGGAGGTGGGCCAGGGTCCTGCCCTGACTGAGGGCAGTTCAGGGACAGGAGGGGCTGTACAGGAGGGTGGGCCAGGTGTGGGCAGAGGGCAGAGATGGGTACCATCTGACACCCTCTCTGACTCCGAGAGGGTTCTGGGAGCCTGCAGAGGGGTGAGGGGTGATTTCTGCCCTATGGGCCCCCCTCCCCAGGTGCTGGGGTGGATGGGGCCCACTCTGTGTTCCAGGCTGGAGGGGGCTCGACCTAGGGGGCCAGGACCACCTCCACCCTCCAAAGAGGCCGCCCGCCCCCCCAGCATCTGTCTGGGATCATCAAGCAGACCGCCTCAGCAGGGGTCAGCTTGGGAAGGAGCTGTGGTGCCTCGGACCCAGGCTTGCATCCCCCCGAGGAAGGCCTGCCCACTCTGGCCCCCTGCCTCCCATCCCCACCCCCAGCCCAGCACAGAGGTGACCACCTGGTGAGACTGGTCAGCTAACTCCAGGCAGTCCGGACTGTCCACACCTGGGAGGCTCTGAGCCCAGGCCTGAGACTTTGCCAGATTCAGGTGTGGGGTCTGAGGCAGAGGCCACGGCTGGGGTCGGAGAGCTGGTGTTCGGGCCCCAGCTTTGCTTCCTGTTGCTGGAGGCTGTACTCACAGTGGGCCTCAGTTTCCCCATCTGCCCAGCGGTCGGTAGGGCGAGAGGTCTCCCAACCTGCCTGTGAGCGTCCTGACCTGACTGGAAGTGAGTAATGCGGACTTACCTCCTCGGAGCGTGGGGGTCAGACGGTGGGGTGTGGCGGGGCTCGGCCAGGGCCGCCTGGTCCTCCTGGGACCCTCCTGGGACCCTCCTGGGAGCCCTCACCACCGGGCTTTTGGCCTCTGCAGCCCTGGGAGCGAGTAGACCCAGCCCCCCGCAGCGGCCAGCATGGGCATCGGAGGCGGCTAGAGGCGGAGGGCACCGGGTGTGCCGTGTGAGCCAGGCTGCAGGAGGGAGAGGCCAGAGCACAGAGCAGGGGAGAGATGGGGCTTCCTGTTTATCCCCCCGAGTGGCCAGCTGGCCTCGGGGACAGGATGGCTCTGTCAGCCAGATTCACACCAGACGTGACTGGACCTTCACCAAGGGCTGCGTGTGCCTGGCCCAGG